CAGTTACATGTTTATTTTTCAGTTTAGTGCTTATTTTGTGTTTCTTACTCTCTATCTCATCTTTGAGGGTTAATTGCACTTGGGTTAGTGTCATTACTACCATTGAAGCACCATAGGCCTTATTTTTGTTTGCTTAAAGTTGCAGCTGCATGAACAGTGAAGAAAAGAGTGAAGCTGCATTAAAATTACATAGGGCTTCCTTTTTCATGAAAAATAAAGTTGGTGAATATGTTCAGTTTACTTGTAGTTTTCTTTTTGATAGGCCTTTCTGAAGGAAAATGCTAAGTAGAGCATCAAAAAATCTCACCAGCCTTTTCTTATTGAAATTAGTACCTTTAAAATTTTCTTTCAAAATCCTTTTCTTATGGTATTGATTTTTTTAATTAGTTACTTTTCATGTCATCATTGTGTCTAGTCCTCTTTGAGGTAATTAACCTATATACTTTCAGTTTAGTCTTTGACCAGTTGCTTCTGTGGTGCAGCTGAAAATCCAAAGAGACGCTTTGCTTGAAAGTTAGTGTCACAGATATCCTAATACTTCATCTTAAAATGGGTCAAAGGTTTTACAGAACCTTGCAGGTTTTGGGCCCAGACACTGTCTGTCATTTTTATATAGGACATGATCAAATATGTACTATGTAATATACACCTCTAACTACAATTTTTAAATAATGTTTATACTCTTAAATAATAAGTTCTCTTAAATAATAGTATTTATTTATTTATTTGGTTTAACAATTTTTTTGGAATCATTAATATACAGTAACATGAGCAACATTGTGGTTACTAGATTCCCCCCATTATCAAGTCCCCACCACAGTCACTGTCCATCAGTGTAGTAAGATGCAATAGGATCACTTCTTGACTTCTCTGTGCTATATTGCCTTCCCCCTGCTCCCCCCACTACATTATGTGTGCTAATCATAATGCCCCCTTTTCCCCTTATCCTTCCCATCCCATACATCCTTCCCAGTCCCTTTCCCTTTGGTAACTGTTAGTCCATTTTTGGGTTCTGTGAGTTTGCTGCTGTTTTGTTCCTTCAGTTTCTTCTTTGTTGTTATACTCCACAGATGAGTGAAATCATTTGGTACTTGTCTTTCTCGTAGTGTATTTCACTGAGCATAATACCCTCTAGCTCCATCCATGTTGTTGCAAATGGCAGGATTTGTTTTCTTCTTATGGCTGAATAATATTCCATTGTGTATATGTACCACATGTACTTTATCCATTTATCTACTATCTACTGATGGACACTTAGGTTGCTTCCATTTCTTGGCTATTGTAAATAGTGCTGCCGATAAACATAGGGGTGCACATGTCTTTTTCAAACTAGAGTGCTGCATTCTTAGGGAAAATTCTGGGAGTGGAATTCCTGGGTCAAATGGTATTTCTATTTTGAGTTTTTTGAGGAACCTCCATACTGCTTTCCACAAAGGTTGAACTAATTTACATTCCCACCAGCAGTGTACGAGGGTTCCCCTTTCTCCACATCCTTGCCAACATTTGTTGTTGTTTGTCTTTTAGATGGTGGTCATCCTAACTGGTATGAGGTGCTATCTCATCGTGGTTCTAATTTGCATTTCTCTGATGATTAGCGATGTGGAGCATCTTTTCATGTGCCTGTTGGCCATCTGAATTTCTTCTTTGGAAAAGTGTCTGTTCAGATCCTCTATCCATTTTTTAATTGGGTTATTTGCCTTTAGTTTGTTGAGGTGCGTGAACTCTTTGTATATTTTGGATGTCAACCACTTATTGGATATGTCATTTATGAATATATTCTCCCATACTGTAGTATGCTTTTTTGTTCTGATGGTGTCCTTTCCTGTACAGAAGCTTTTTAGTTTGATATAGTCCCACTTGTTCATTTTTGCTTTTGTTTCCCTTGTCTGTAGAGGTATGTTCATGAAAAAGTTGCCCATGTTTATATTCAAGAGAGTTTGCCTATATTTTCTTCTAAGAGTTTTATGGTTTCATGACTTACATTCAGGTCTTTGATCCATTTTGAGTTTACTTTTCTGTATAGAGATAGACAGCAATCCATTTTCATTTTCCTACATGTAGCTGTCCAGTTTTGCCAGCACCGTCTGTTGAAGAGGCTGTCATTTCCCCATTGTATATCCATGGCTCCTTTATCGTATATTAATTGACCATATATTCTTGGGTTAATATCTGGACTCTCTATTCTATTCCACTGGTCTATGGGTCTGTTCTTGTGGCAGTACCAAATTGTCTTGATTGCTGTGGCTTTGTAGTAGGGCTTGAAGTTGGAAAGCAAGATTCCCCCCTGCTTTATTCTTCCTTCTCAGAATTGCTTTGGCTATTTGGGGTCATTTGTGGTTTGATATGAATTTTAGAACTATTTGTTCCAGTTTGTTGAAGAATGCTATTGGTATTTTGATAGGGATTCCATTGAATCTGTAGATTGCCTTAAGCAGGATGGCCATTTTAAGAATATTAATTCTTCCTACCCAATAGCATGGGATGAATTTCCATTTATTAGTTTCTTCTTTAATTTCTCTTAAGAGTGTCTTGTAATTTTCAGGGTATAGGTCTTTCACTTCCTTGGTTAAGTTTATTCCTAGGTATTTTATTCTTTTTGATGCAATTGTGAATGGGATTGTTTTCCTAATTTCTCTTTCTGCTTGTTCATTGTTAGTGTATAGGAAAGCAACAGATTTCTGTGTATTAATTTTGTTTCCTGCAACTTTGCTGAATTCAGATATTAGTTCTAGTAGTTTGGGAGTGGATTGTTTAGGGTTTGTTATGTACAATATTACATCATCTGCAAATAGTGACAGTTTGACTTCTTTCTTATCAATCTGGATGCCTTGTGATTCTTTTTTTTGCCTGATTGCCATGGCTAGGACCGCCAGTACTATGCTGAATAAAAGGGGGGAGAGTGGGCATCCTTGACTTGTTTCCGATCTTAGGGGAAAAGTTTTCAGCTTCTCGCTATAAAGTATAATGTTTGCTGTGGGTTTTGTCATATATGGCCTTTATTATGTTGAGGTACTTGCCCTCTATACCCATTTTGTTGAGAGTTTTTATCTTTAATGGATGTTGAGTTTTGTCAAATGCTTTTTCCACATGTATGTAAATGATCATGTGGTTTTTGTCCTCTTTTTGATATGGTGATGATGTTGATGGATTTTTGAATGTTGTACCATCCTTGCATCCCTGGGATGAATCCCACTTGGTCATGGTCTATGATCCTTTTGATGTATTTTTGAATTTGGTTTACTAATATTTTGTTGAGTATTTTTGCATCTGTGTTCATCAGGGATATTGGTGTGTAGTTTTCTTTTTTTGTGGTGTCTTTGCCTGGTTTTGGTATTAGAGTGATGCTGGCTTTATAGAATGAGTTTGGAAGTATTCCCTCCTCTTCTATATTTTGGAAACCTTTAATTACAATGGGTATTAGGTCCTCTCCAAATATCTGATAAAATTCAGCAGTGAATCCATCTGGTACGGCAGTTTTGTTCTTGGGTAGTTTTTGATTACTGATGAATTTTATTGCTGGTAATTGGTCTGTATAGATTTTCTATTTCCTCTTTGGTCAGTCTTGGAAGGTTGTATTTTTCTAGAAAGTTGTCCATTTCTTCTAGGTTATCCAGTTTTTTAGCTTATAAGTTTTCATAGTATTCCCAAATAATTCTTTGTATTTCGGTGGTGTCCATAGTGATTTTTCCGTTCTCATTTCTAATTCTGTGTATGTGTGTAACTCTCTTTTTTTTTCTTGAGATAAGTCTGGCTAGGGATTTATCCATTTTGTTTATTTTCTTAAAGAACCAGCTCCTGCTTTCATTGATTCTTTCTATTGCTTTATTCTTCTCGATTGTATTTATTTCTGCTCTAATCTCTGTTATGTTCCTGCATCTACTGACTTTGGGCCTCATTTGGTTTCATTAATAGTGAGTTTAGACTGTTCATTTGGGATTGTTCTTTCGTGAGGTAGGCCTGTATAGCTATATACTTCCCTCTTTGCACAACCCTTGCTGTGTCCCACAGATGTTGTGGTGTTGAATTACTGTTTTCTGTTGTCTCCATATATTGCTGCTTGATCTCTGTTTTTATTTGGTCATTGATCCATTGGTTATTTGGGAGTATGTTGTGAAGTCTCCATGTGTTTGTGGGATTTTTTGTTTTCTTTCCGTTTTTAATTTTTAGTTTCATAACCTTGTGGTCTGGGAAGTTGGTTAGTACAATTTCAGTCTTTCTGAATTTACTGAAGCTCTTTTTGTGGCTAGCATATGATCTATTCTTGAAAATGTTCCATGTGTACGTGAGAAGAATGTGTATTCTGCTGCTTTTGGGTGTAGAGTTCTGTAGATGTCTGTTAGGTCCAACTGTTCTAATGTCTTATTCAGTGCCTCTGTGTCCTTACTTATTTTCTGTCTGGTTGATCTGTCCTTTGGAGTGAGTGGAGTGTTGAAGTCTCCTAGAATGAATGTATTGTATTCTATTTCTCCTTTTAATTCTGTTAGTATTCGTTTCACATATGTAGGTGCTCCTGTGTTGGATGCATAGATATTTTTAATGGTTATATCTTTTGGTTGGATTGACCCCTTTATCATTATGTCTATCTTTGTCTCTTATGACCTTCTTTGTTTTGAAGTCTATATTCTATCTGATACAAGTACTGCAACTCCTGCTTTTTTCTCCCTATTCTTTGCATGAAATATCTTTTTCCGTCCCTTCACTTTTAGTCTGTGTATGTCTTTGGGTTTAAAGTGAGTTTCTTGTAGGCACCATATAGATGGTTTTGTTTTTCTTTCCATTCAGGGACTCTGTGTCTCTTGATTGGTGCATTCAGACTGCTTACACTTAGGGTGATTATTGATAGGTATGTACTTATTGCCATCACAGGTTTTTGATTCATGGTTACCAAAGGTTCAAGGTTAACCTCCTTACTATCTAAGAGTCTAATTTAACTCAGTATGCTATTATAAACAGAATATAAACGTTTTTCTCTCCTCCTTTTTCTTCCACCTCCATTTTATTTTTTTATGGAATGCTTCATGAATTTGCGTGTCATCCTTGTGCAGGAGACATGCTAATCTCTGTGTATCTTGTCAATTTTAGTATATGTGGTGCTGAAGCGAGCACTCCTCCTTCATTCTTTATATATTAGGTTGCATATTCTGTACTGTTTGTCTATCCCTTAATTGACTTTGGGGGTAGTTGATTTAATTTTGCATTTGTTTAGTAATTAACTATTCTATTTCTTTACTGTGGTTTTATTACCTCTGGTGACAGCTATTAAACCTTAGGAGCACTTCCATCTATAGCAGTCCCCCTCCAAAATACTGTGTAGAGATGGTTTGTTGGAGGTAAATTTTCTTCAGTTTTGCGCATCTGGAAATTGTTTAATCCCTCCTTCAAATTTAAATAATAATCTTGCCGGATAAAGTATTCTTAGTTTTAGGCCTTTCTGTTTCATTACATTATATATATCATGGCACTCCCTTCTGGCCTGTAAGGTTTCTGCTGAGAAGTCTGATCATATCCTGATGGGATTTCCTTTGTATGTGATCTTATTTCTCTCTCTGGCTGCTTTTAATAGTCTATGATTATCATTGATCTTTGCCATTGTAAGTATTATGTGTCTTGCTATTGTCTTCCTTGGGTCCCTTGTGTTGGGAGATCTGTGCACCTCCATGGCCTGAGAGACTATCTCCTTCCCCAGATTGGAGAAGTTTTAACAAATTATGTCCTCAGAGACACTTTCTATGCCCTTTTCTCTCTTTTCTTCTTCTGTTACCCCTTTAATGTGAATATTGTTACATTTGGATTGATCCCACAGTTGTCTCAATATTCTTTCATTCTTAGAGATCGCTTTCTCTCTTTGCATCAGCTTCTTTGTATTACTCTTCTCTAATTTTTATTTCATTTACTCTCTCTTCTACTACACTTAATCTGCTTTGAAATCCCTCCATTTTATGTTGCATTTCAGACACGAAATTTCTGAATGATTGAATCTCCATCCTAAATTCATCTGTGAGTTCTTTAATATTTTTGTCTACCTCCATGAGCATGTTTATGATTTTTATTTTGAACTCTATTCCAGGAAGATTGGTGAGTTCAGTGTCATTTGGCCCTTTTTCTGGGGTTTATGAGATTTTGGTCTGAACTAGGTTCGTTTTTCATTTCATATTTGTATGTGGTGCCTGCTACTGCCAAGGAGATCTGTTTGGAGCTGCTCAGCCCTTGGAGCAATGTCAGGGTCATAGGGGACCGGTGTTGGTGCCTGGTGGGAGAAAAGAGCTGTTTCCTGCTTCCCAGCTCTTCTGCTTGTCTCCACTGCTGGAACCAGTGGGCTGAGCACACATGTATAAGCCTCTATGCTTTGTGTTTGTAGCTGTTGTAGGTGGGGCCATCCCCCTGGGTGGCCTGATGCCAGGGTAGATTTTCCCAGTTTTTGAGCTCATGTGGGTTGGCTGGAAGAAAGGTATGGCAGGCTGCGTATCAGGGTGGGGCCCTTGGAGCTGCATAGCCTGCTAGGGTGCTGAAGTGCCTGAAGATCATGAAAGTTCCCAAAATTCTGCTCAGAGTGCTCCCTGACAATTTTGTCTACCTGTCCTTTCTCCTGAGTAGTAAGCTCTGTGTCATCCTTTGCCTCTTTAGCAGCCCTTTTGCTGTTTCGAAGTCTCTCAGACTGCCCGACTTTCTTTTGTCCCAGAGCAGCCAGATATGGATCCCTGTTTTCCACAAGCAGTGGGAATCTCAGTCTCTCCAGGTATTTTGCCTGTCGTAGCTTCCAATCCCACTTATCACCAGGCCACTGTGTAGTGTAGTTTTGTGGTTCTAGAGCATATCTCTGGAGCAAGGTGTTCAGCAGTTTGAGGCCTGCCTCCCTCCCCACTTAGTTTCTGTCTCCTGCGGGTGAGCTTGAGCGGAGGAAGGGCTCGGGTTCCGCTTTGTCCAGCTTTGGGAATGTTACCCTGTTCCTTGAGGTCTCTTCTTTTCTCTAGGTGTGTGCAGTCTGGCGCAGCCTTCTTTCGTGTTGCTCTTTCACAATTAGTTGTATTAACTATATTTTTGTATTATGCAGTTTTTGGAGGAGTTCTCTGTCTCACCTCACACTGCCATCTTTAATCCCAACATCATAGACTTTTCTCTGTTTGTATGTACTCTTAAAGAAATCAGAATTGATAACATCCTATACTTTTTAACACTTATTGTATTGTTACCATAGTTATCATCAGTAAATATGAACGTAACATTGTCATTTTTTATTGATGCATAGTGTTAAACCATGTGGATATTTCTAATTTTCTTGACTCATTGCCTATTTAATATCCATTTAGGTTGTTTCTAATTTTGTCACTATTATAAACATTTATCATTGTACATAACATCTTTTACACACTTACGTGCATATATTTTTGTACACTTGCCAGATCATTTCCTTGAGATATTTACTACACTGCTTTTTTACTATCTGCCATAATTTTAAAAATGTATATTTTAAAGTATCCACCACAAAGATTTCCATGATATTATTAACTCTGTGAAAAAATGATGCAGCTATTTAGATCCTCATGTTAAATATAATGTATCTGAAACTGCAAAACTACATAGTTTGGTAGTGTCAGAGCTGGAACTAAAACCCATGTCTTCTACTTGTGGGTTTGTTTTCTTCGCACTGTGCTACAGTGTCAGTCCTTGAATACCTGGCATTCAAAGAGTGATTTTTATTGTTGCTTCTGTATTTCTAAAGATATGATTCTTGATTGAGTATCCTTTTAGATTCTTTATACAGTGTACTGGAATTTAGCCATTCAGATTAAAGGCTCATAAACCTTCAGTAGGAATACAGGCTAAAGATATACTCTCTTAAACATATTAGTAGTTTATCTGCATTAACATTTTCATTCAATTACTCACCTATATTGTTACTGTTCCCCCATATAGAAAACTCACCATAGTCTTAGTTTTTTCTTTTTTTAAGCTTCAAGTTATGTTACTACTTTTGGGTAGGACTAGTTGCAGTGGTTTGGGAGAATTGCTTTGATTTGAATGCCAGCTCTCTCAGTACTGTGTGATATTGTGCAAGTTACTTAAATCTCTCTAAGTCTAGTGTCATCATCCACATAATCTAAATACTAGTACATATGTCATAGTGAGGAGCCAATTAATTAGCACAAAGAAAGTGCTTGACACAGTGTGGCATGTAGAAACTACTCCTTAAATGTTAGCATTTTTTTTTAGTGTGCAAATTTAATTGTGAAATAGTCATTGCATGTTTTGATGTCCTCTGTATTTTTAGTGACATTTTTTGTTTTATGTGTTTGTATTCCTGTAGATTTCCCATCTCTGTTTACTCTCCCTTCCCCTTTGGTTCTATATAATAACTTCTCTTCATTTTGAACTGTCTGTTTTGTCATGGCTTATGCAAAGTGAGGAATTGCCATACTTATTTCCTATTGAGAATAAACACAAGTTAAATTATTGACATTTACAGATTATCTCAGTCATTTTTTGAGACAGTGTGAAGTAGATTAACATGAATGTTAACTTGCCAAGTGTAGAATTCTGAGAGCCGGGGCATGTACTGTCTGACTTGCTGCAGTCTGCTCTGTATTTGCTTCTTGAGGAGGAAAGCTGATTCAGGATTTTCTTTTTTTGTTTTGGTTCTAGCACATGCAGATGACAATCCAGGCTCTTCAGGATGAATTGCGGATCCAAAGGGACCTGAATCAGCTGTTTCAGCAAGATAGTAGCAGTAGGACTGGTGAGTCTTGTGTGGCAGAGCTGACGGAGGAGAATTTTCAGAGGCTACATACTGAGCATGAGCGGCAGGCCAAAGAGCTGTTCCTTCTTCGAAAGACTCTAGAGGAAATGGAGCTGCGTATTGAGACTCAGAAGCAAACCCTAAATGCTCGAGATGAGTCCATCAAAAAACTTCTGGAGATGTTACAGAGCAAAGGACTGTCTGCTAAGGCTACTGAGGAAGACCATGAGAGAACAAGACGACTGGCAGAGGCAGAAATGCACGTCCACCATCTAGAAAGTCTCCTGGAGCAGAAGGAGAAAGAAAACAGTATGTTGAGAGAGGTGAGTGAACACTGGTTCAGTTGTTAGGACTACCTTTTTTTTTTCTGATTAGTCAGCATCTTGGCTTAGATAAATTTAAATGCTCTACTGAAAAGGAATTTCTTCTTTGGTATTTAAGTGTGTCACTGATTTCCATTCTGTCTTGTATGAGATGACATTGACTGGTATGTTTACAGGCTTGATAACTTTCTGGATTCCCCCATCACCTCCCAACCCCCTTCTGGTTTCTATAGATTCCTTTTGTTGCTAAAGAAGCATAGATTTTCTTGGTTTGTTACTCATCTCTTGATTTGTTCTTAGAGAAACATGCAGCAAAACCAGACTGAGAATAGCTGAAACTATTGCTCAGTTTAAAAATATTAATAACAGAAAGTAAGCAGTTACCTTAATTTAAGTGTTGGGATGGTGAATTCTTTTCCTACATATATATATAACAGTAACAATATTATGCATAGCAGTAATAGTAGTATAACTTCATTAGGGGACCTTATTCCAATGTGTGTAAGTATGTGGGAGGGGGGTCTTCTCATAATTTAAAACCAAGCAATTCTCTAACACCAGCAGGAAATTCTGATGCTATCAGCTTGAGACAGCACCAGATTCCAAGGTTAAGGGCTCTGTCCTGCAGGACTGCCCTTTACCCCAGGTCCCAGGCGCTGGTCACAAGCTCAGGCAGTTAACCTGTGCTTTGGACCTAATGGCTACAGATTGGAGGTTCCCACGACCTCCTCCTTCGGTTTAAATTGCTAGAGTGGCTCTCAAAACTCAGGAAAACACATAGGTTTACCAGTTTAATAAAGGATACCGTAAAGGATACAAGTTAAAAGCCAGATGAAGAGAGACATAGGGCAAGGTCCCAAATAAAGGAGCTTCTATCCTTGCGGAACTTGGGGCCTGCCTTGGTTGGCACATGGAGGCGTTCTGGTTCCCCAAGCATAGAAGCTCTTTCTGACTGAGAAGCAGGATCCAAGAGAGCAGAGAGTGATAAGTTCTTCTCTGGAGTTTTTATAAGGGATTCATTGCATAGTCAGGATTGATTAAATTATTGGCCATTGGCTGATTCAGCCTCCAGCACCCCTCCCCCGACCCCCACCCCATTGGTGTGGGGGGTGTGTGTCCAAAATTCTCTCATTAACATGACAAAACAGCAGTTTCACCTTTAAGACTGCAGCATTTTCAGGAACTGTGAATGAAGACCAAATGTACCTGGGAAATAGGTATTTCTTATAACTCGTGCTTATAAAGTCCTTGGCAGCTGTAATGGATGTTTACCTGTGGTTTCTGTGGAAACTCGCCTTGCTGTAAAAGAGGTGATCAAAAGCATTTGCTGCTGTGGAAGCACAGGGAGAAAGAATGATACAGAGGCGCACAGTCACTTGTTTTTAGAGAGGAAACTCAAGACTTTAAGTGACCACTGTGACTATTGATGATTTTTCATTTTCCTAGGTAAGACTTTAAAGAAAGCATAAATGAATTCATCTTACTTTGAATTTAAAAATATTTGCACTTTAATTCTTTATATGTGGTCAGAGGTTTCAGATAACTTTCACATTTAGATAGGGGAAAAAATCTCAGAACTGTGTTGTGCCAATCTGAATAATTCATTTTTAAATGAAATATGAAAAAGTTAAAAAAATGGGATATCCCTTAAGTAGCAAAATAGCAACTTTAAGAGAGTACTTCTAAATTGGAAGTTTTTCCATAATTTCTCCTTTTGTAAAAAATCTGAAATATTTATTTACAGTGAGGTCAGTTTTATTTTTGAAGAAGTTTAATGTTTTTTAGAAATACAATTTTATTACACAGTAAGTCCGTTATAGTTTACTGCAGTAAAGTTAGAAAATAGCAAAACCTTAAAACCCCAGGTGTCATTACCTAGCGATAACTGTTGTTTTGTTATGTATATGTTTATTATGTGTTCAGTCTTCCATTACTTGTGTATTTTTTTCTCTTAAAAAGACTCATCAGTATTGTCTAATAACTTTTTGTGATGAAGGAAATGTTCTGTGTATGCCCCTTATGTGGTTGCCATGAGCTACATGTGGCTGTTGATCAGTTGAAATGCAGCTAGTGTAAGGGAACTGAATTTTAAACTCTATTTAAATGTGACTAATCTATAATTAAATTAATGAAATTTGAATTTAAGCATCTTCGTGCAGCTAGTGGACTTCCATCTATAGCAGTCCCCCTCCAAAATACTGTGTAGAGATGGTTTGTTGGAGGTAAATTTTCTTCAGTTTTGCGCATCTGGAAATTGTTTAATCCCTCCTTCAAATTTAAATAATAATCTTGCCGGATAAAGTATTCTTAGTTTTAGGCCTTTCTGTTTCATTACATTATATATATCATGGCACTCCCTTCTGGCCTGTAAGGTTTCTGCTGAGAAGTCTGATCATATCCTGATGGGATTTCCTTTGTATGTGATCTTATTTCTCTCTCTGGCTGCTTTTAATAGTCTATGATTATCATTGATCTTTGCCATTGTAAGTATTATGTGTCTTGCTATTGTCTTCCTTGGGTCCCTTGTGTTGGGAGATCTGTGCACCTCCATGGCCTGAGAGACTATCTCCTTCCCCAGATTGGAGAAGTTTTAACAAATTATGTCCTCAGAGACACTTTCTATGCCCTTTTCTCTCTTTTCTTCTTCTGTTACCCCTTTAATGTGAATATTGTTACATTTGGATTGATCCCACAGTTGTCTCAATATTCTTTCATTCTTAGAGATCGCTTTCTCTCTTTGCATCAGCTTCTTTGTATTACTCTTCTCTAATTTTTATTTCATTTACTCTCTCTTCTACTACACTTAATCTGCTTTGAAATCCCTCCATTTTATGTTGCATTTCAGACACGAAATTTCTGAATGATTGAATCTCCATCCTAAATTCATCTGTGAGTTCTTTAATATTTTTGTCTACCTCCATGAGCATGTTTATGATTTTTATTTTGAACTCTATTCCAGGAAGATTGGTGAGTTCAGTGTCATTTGGCCCTTTTTCTGGGGTTTATGAGATTTTGGTCTGAACTAGGTTCGTTTTTCATTTCATATTTGTATGTGGTGCCTGCTACTGCCAAGGAGATCTGTTTGGAGCTGCTCAGCCCTTGGAGCAATGTCAGGGTCATAGGGGACCGGTGTTGGTGCCTGGTGGGAGAAAAGAGCTGTTTCCTGCTTCCCAGCTCTTCTGCTTGTCTCCACTGCTGGAACCAGTGGGCTGAGCACACATGTATAAGCCTCTATGCTTTGTGTTTGTAGCTGTTGTAGGTGGGGCCATCCCCCTGGGTGGCCTGATGCCAGGGTAGATTTTCCCAGTTTTTGAGCTCATGTGGGTTGGCTGGAAGAAAGGTATGGCAGGCTGCGTATCAGGGTGGGGCCCTTGGAGCTGCATAGCCTGCTAGGGTGCTGAAGTGCCTGAAGATCATGAAAGTTCCCAAAATTCTGCTCAGAGTGCTCCCTGACAATTTTGTCTACCTGTCCTTTCTCCTGAGTAGTAAGCTCTGTGTCATCCTTTGCCTCTTTAGCAGCCCTTTTGCTGTTTCGAAGTCTCTCAGACTGCCCGACTTTCTTTTGTCCCAGAGCAGCCAGATATGGATCCCTGTTTTCCACAAGCAGTGGGAATCTCAGTCTCTCCAGGTATTTTGCCTGTCGTAGCTTCCAATCCCACTTATCACCAGGCCACTGTGTAGTGTAGTTTTGTGGTTCTAGAGCATATCTCTGGAGCAAGGTGTTCAGCAGTTTGAGGCCTGCCTCCCTCCCCACTTAGTTTCTGTCTCCTGCGGGTGAGCTTGAGCGGAGGAAGGGCTCGGGTTCCGCTTTGTCCAGCTTTGGGAATGTTACCCTGTTCCTTGAGGTCTCTTCTTTTCTCTAGGTGTGTGCAGTCTGGCGCAGCCTTCTTTCGTGTTGCTCTTTCACAATTAGTTGTATTAACTATATTTTTGTATTATGCAGTTTTTGGAGGAGTTCTCTGTCTCACCTCACACTGCCATCTTTAATCCCAACATCATAGACTTTTCTCTGTTTGTATGTACTCTTAAAGAAATCAGAATTGATAACATCCTATACTTTTTAACACTTATTGTATTGTTACCATAGTTATCATCAGTAAATATGAACGTAACATTGTCATTTTTTATTGATGCATAGTGTTAAACCATGTGGATATTTCTAATTTTCTTGACTCATTGCCTATTTAATATCCATTTAGGTTGTTTCTAATTTTGTCACTATTATAAACATTTATCATTGTACATAACATCTTTTACACACTTACGTGCATATATTTTTGTACACTTGCCAGATCATTTCCTTGAGATATTTACTACACTGCTTTTTTACTATCTGCCATAATTTTAAAAATGTATATTTTAAAGTATCCACCACAAAGATTTCCATGATATTATTAACTCTGTGAAAAAATGATGCAGCTATTTAGATCCTCATGTTAAATATAATGTATCTGAAACTGCAAAACTACATAGTTTGGTAGTGTCAGAGCTGGAACTAAAACCCATGTCTTCTACTTGTGGGTTTGTTTTCTTCGCACTGTGCTACAGTGTCAGTCCTTGAATACCTGGCATTCAAAGAGTGATTTTTATTGTTGCTTCTGTATTTCTAAAGATATGATTCTTGATTGAGTATCCTTTTAGATTCTTTATACAGTGTACTGGAATTTAGCCATTCAGATTAAAGGCTCATAAACCTTCAGTAGGAATACAGGCTAAAGATATACTCTCTTAAACATATTAGTAGTTTATCTGCATTAACATTTTCATTCAATTACTCACCTATATTGTTACTGTTCCCCCATATAGAAAACTCACCATAGTCTTAGTTTTTTCTTTTTTTAAGCTTCAAGTTATGTTACTACTTTTGGGTAGGACTAGTTGCAGTGGTTTGGGAGAATTGCTTTGATTTGAATGCCAGCTCTCTCAGTACTGTGTGATATTGTGCAAGTTACTTAAATCTCTCTAAGTCTAGTGTCATCATCCACATAATCTAAATACTA